CATTCATATCCGATAGGATGAAAGGAATTCCAAGAGCACTCCAACGACATTTCCCGCCACCACATGCACATCGCTATTGCTTGCGACATATTAGAGACAACTTCAAGAAGAAGTATGGAAACGCTCAGGTTCAAGACTTACTTTGGCAAGCCGGTTGTGCAACAGAAAAATATGTTTATGAACAAATACGAGAGAGGATCAAGTTCACTTCACGAGCCGCACATGATTGGATCGAAACTAGTTTGGGTCCAAACAATGTTGATAAGTGGGCTTTATGTGAGGATGGCGGTCGACGGTTCTGTATGATGACTACGAACGCGTCTGAGAGCTTCAATGGCGTGCTCAGGGGAGCACGCGGCATGCCAATACAGGCACTAGTTGCTAAAACTTTTTACAGGCTTAATAAATTCTTTCTTCGACGTCGAGAACTTGGTGAAAATATGCGCTCAGAGCTAACACCGAAGGTTGATGAAATGCTAGCAGCTCGGATTGTACAAGCTCGGTCCTTTCAGGTTGTACGATACAGTTTTAATGAATGGGAGGTGCTCGAGGGAATAACCCATAGAGAAAATCGCTCTTACAAAGTCAATATGTTGGTGGATCGCACTTGTACGTGCACTTGCAATGTACCGCAACTACAATTGATTCCTTGTTCACATGTTGTAGCAGCTTGCTCCGACCTACAGGGTGGTGCTCGCATTTCACATTATGAATTTGTCGACGCTTGGTATTCTGCATACAACTATCAACAAACCTACAAAGAGTGTTTTCGTCCACCATACGATAGTCGACATTGGACACAAGATGGGCCACGGATATTACCTCCATTGTATAAAAGATCGGCGGGGCGCCCTCGTTCCGTGCGTATTAGAAATAGTATGGATGACGGACGTGAAGGAGCTAGGAGGAGAAATAAGTGCAGTAGATGTGATCAACCGGGTCACAACAAAAATAGGTGTCCAGTTAGTATTAGGCGTTGATTTGTATTATGTATCGTTTTGCACTATGTCATTCGTAGTTGTTATCTTTGAAGCGTATGATACTCGTTATTTGTAATATGTTATGTATGATACTGTGTTCATTGCACTCTGTATATATGCTCATATTTTAATCACAGGTCTATTCATTATGGATCCGGGACCGGAGAATCCCGACGTTTTGTACCTTCAGGCGAGTCATTGTTCAGACCATATTGGTTCGGGAGAGGTAATACGAATAAATTAGATATATATTTCTTCGATTAATGTAATTTTTTAATGAATATACTTAAAACTGATTCTCGTTTTATGTGCAGCCCGTACCAGAGTACACGATGATCGAGCATTCCCATAGTCATTCGGCATGGGTCATAGAGGATGAGAGGGTACTAGCTTTGATCGCTCAGGCCGGTTTTCGACCGTGTTCGACGATTCGTTATATCAGGCTTGATTGGCCGCTTATCACTGCTTTGATTGAGAGGTGGAGGCCAGAGACCAACACCTTTCACATGCATATAGGGGAGTGCACGATCACTTTACAGGACGTGGCCGTCATACTTGGGCTCCGGATTGATGGACCGGTAGTTACGGGCACCGACGATCATAGTTGGCCGGAGGTATGTGCCCGGCTTCTTGGACAGGTTCCCGACTTGAGGAGTGGTGCGATGAAGCTATCGTGGCTTCGTCAGACATTTCAGGGCGACATACCAGAGGATGCCTCTGATGAGACGCTCCAGTTTCATGCTCGTGCATACATATTGCACATGATAGGGTGCGTACTATTTCCTGATGCGAGCAAGACTCTCGTACATGCACGATGGCTGCCACTGCTGGAGGATTTTGGTGTATGCGGGGCACTATCGTGGGGCAGTGCGGTGTTGGCATATTTGTATCGAGAATTGAGTAGAGTATCTCTGATGCAGAATAAAGAATTCAAGGGATGCTGTACGTTGATACAGATTTGGTCATGGGAGCGCATTCATATTGGACGACCCACTTTACTTATGCACCGTGACTTAGAGGGGCAGTATCCATTGGCATACAGGTATAATTGTACACACACATATTTCATTCGTAACCTGAATATTTGTACTTATATATTCGCTATTCTGCATATAGGTATAACGTGCGATACGCTCAGTACAAATCAGCGACGCGTCACCCTCAGTTTTACCGAAATGAGCTTGATGGCCTCCAGCACGAACAGGTAAATATAAAACTCAGGAAGTATGAATATTATAGTTTTTCTGTATGATACCGATAAATGTTTTATTTTATTTCAGTTCAAGTGGAGACCCTATACACCGCCGGAGCTCGATATACATTCTCTTGCACCTATCTGCCGAGATCGTCCCGAATTGTGGAGAGCCAGAGTTCCATTGATCTGTTGGGAGATCGTAGAGATGCATGTACCGGACCGTGTGCTACGGCAGTTTACACTCTCTCAGCATATTCCAGATCCTGTCGAGCAGATCAATCGTCGGCGGCGCCCTACATCGCACCGGACTGACTGGGCCGTAGTCCGTGCGGCCTACATAGACAGGTGGGTTCAGAGGTGGGATTGCATACAGGATACGAGGCCCACAACTGTTGACTATACCACGTATATGCGTTGGTATTGGGATATCACACGTAGATGGATCACGCGTGACCCACAGCCTTTAGCTGGACACATGCCACGCCCACCGACAGATAGTTACATCCCTAGTGGGATGAACGAGAGAGATTACGTAAGTTTCTAAGCTAAATTATAATATTTTTTATTGAGTTGATACTTAATAAATTGTTTACCACGCAGGTCCGTGTTTTAGATAGCATTGATGCTGATATTGATGCGCACGTGACTGAGATTCAGGATCAGGTGGCGTTAGGTCTCCTCAGCAGGATTAAGAAGAGCATAGCGCAGGTGTTCCATAAGACTCACGTCGACGAGTTCGCAGGCCGTGAGGACAGGTCTCGCTCATTTGGACGGGCGTACGCTCGACGTCGACGGCCGCGTGATGATGACGCCGGCACTTCGCATGCCGATGGAGCCGGCACTTCGCATGCCGATAAATTTTGTAACTTTCCTGAATTTTCAAATACTAAACTTTTGAAGGTAAATTATTGTTCATATACATAATCGTGTGTGTTTAATTCATGGTTGAATCATGTATATATTGTTGTTTGCAAATAAATTGGCATATATATGAGTTATAATTCATGGTTGAATCATGTATATATTGTTGTTTGTAAATAAATTGGCATATATATGAGTTACAGGTAAATATACAAAACCTGCACAGCAGCTGTGCATGCTGGGTGACCTGCAACTTCACGGGATTTCAACTCCCGTGAAGTTGCAGTGCCAATTTTCCAGAGATCGAGTCTCTGGAATGGTTGACTGTAACTCCACGGGAGTTGAACTCCCGTGGAGTTTTAAGCACAAATTAATCTTCACGGGAGTTCAACTCCCGTGAAGTTTAATTTCTCCATAAACTTCACGGGAGTTGAACTCCCGTGATGTTTCGGAGAATTTTTTACAAAAACCGACCTGTTTTCAGCGCTGGGCTGAAAACAGGTCGGTTTTTGCAATTATTATCAAAAGCGGTCGGTTTTTGCAATTAAATTCCTAAAACGGTTGGTTTTGAAAATTTGTCCATAAAGGAGGGTTGATCTCCTTTAGCAAGCGTGATAATTTGGTGTTGTAAACTTGTCTAGCATCCCTCCTGTTGTACAAGGAGCCGCAATCATTTACATTTTCCCTGTTATTCTGTTAGCCTAGGAGTTTCATTTACCTCAATCTTGACCGCACAGCTATTCCACATTGTCTTATTGTCTTTTAGAGACTGAGGCTCAGCAGCAAATGAGACGTGGTTAAAAGGGTTTTTTTTAATTCGTAAAATGAATTTAAATAACAATTTGATGAATTAGGGAAGTTAACCTGTTTCAGGGAAAAAAGAAAAGAAAAGAAAAACACACATATTGGCTAAAGTTCAATGAGTTTTCTTTTAAACGTTGATCTCCTAGGACCTTCTACTACTACTATGCTGAGAAAATATTAAATACTTGCATGTAATTAATTATTGAAATTGATATTAAATTTAATATTGATAATTTTTTTTTTTTTAATATTTTTTCATGAGACATGAAACTTCACTGATTATAAAGAGGTATAAGATCCCTAGTTAAATAAGGAAAAAGAAACTAAGAAATGTTTTCATCCCAAAATGTAATCGATGATATAAAAAGACCAATATTGTTCGCAATCTTGCCAGCGTAAGGAAAATGACATCTCAAGGAATATGTAATCAAAGCAGATCACACCGTTGGGTTGTAAGGCCAACAATCATGATTTTTTTTTTATGTTAGACTGCTGACAGTATCTTGCATGCGGCCCAGAAACTCGAAGCAGATCACACCGTTGGGCTTGTGTTCTTGAAGCTACTCTTCTAAAATGGCTGAAAGTAAACCTGGGAAAAATCTTCTCTTGCCCCTCCTATCAAAACACTAGATTACAAAATCAAAAGGAAATTTGAAGTGGATGAAAAGAACATCAATCTCCAACCACCTGAAAATACTTAGCTCAATTCCGTTCTTTAAAAAAAAAAACTCGGAGCTTTTTCTTTACTAACTCAAGTCTACATTGGCCCCTTAACCAATTACTTCAAAATATTTAAACTAAACCCTGTCCGAACAATATTAAATGTAGTGGTAAGATATTGTTTACCAATGTTTTCCTTGGTCATAGTTCTGCGATCCAACACTCGAGAAAAGCTGCAGACAGAGGATGAATGCCAAGAAAATGACACCCTAAATACTTCCATAGACGGACTATAGATCCCTGGTCATTTCCCAGTGGAAGCATAATTTGCCCAATTATCTTGAGGACACAATTGAAAAACTTCAGATCGAACGAAGAAAATCTAGGAGAAAATATTGACAAAGTTATACTTTTATCTGAATTCAGACTTTAACCCGCAGGGAAATTCAGACCAGCGCGATCAACGAATACTTTGTATGTACATCAGTCCAAAAAGAGAATTAAACCAATTCAACAATCAATAGTAGATATTAACATATCAAGTTATCCACAAACTTCTACACTTGCACGCAAAACCGAAACAGATGGATTAGTACGGGGATCTACTGTAAAGTTTGTATTTACATATCAGCCCTAGCTCCAGAGCATTTGTGACACGTCAAACCTCTAACCCTCAACAAGAAATGACAAGTGAATAAAAGAAAATGAAAAAAAAAAAAAAAACATGAGCAATTTCCTTTTTAAGTTCAATAAACATAAGATCGACATGTATTGCTGAATCAATCAGCTGAACTTAATCGTCACTCCTTCCTTTCTCTGCCGCTATATTCATTTTTCGTTTGCTAAAACCGTGCATGAAATTGTTTTTCCCTTCATCGTTTTTTTTTTTGTACTTTTTCACTTTTTTATTCCCCTTTCTTTCTTGTTGTTGCTACTGGGGTGGTGGTTGTTATTGTTGTTCTTTTTGTGTGGTTTGGGGGGCTGGGTTTGCATAAAAGGACATTGCAAGAAAACATAACTTTTGAAGCAAAAGGGAAAAAGAAGTACATCCATATAGCTCCTCACTTAAACAGTCATCCATCGAACATTTGTCAGCTTCATCATGTATCTTGGGATTTATGCTTCTTTGCCAACTGCAGCCTTCATCACCGTGCTTGATTTCAGCAACATCTCCTCCTCTAGAAAGTTAAACATAAAAACGCACATCAAGCTTCTTTTTACAAATGATGCTGATGATGTACAGATGCTAATCAAAATAAACCAAGATAGATAGGCTGATGTGTGCTGAAGCATGTCAAGTCTAACATGAAACTTTTTGGACGTTTCAGATGGAAGTATTTCTTAGAATAGAGGGAAAAAACAGGTGCAACAAAAATCAAAAGTAGTTTTATAGGCACACTTCCCAGATATTTCAGAGGAACATTTCCCCCCCTTAGAATATGAGGGACCATGTCGGCAAAATTGAATCTACCCAACTTTCATGCGACTCATCAAACGAATGTTCTTGAAAAAGACTAGTAACTATTCCAGGATCGATGATGAAGATCAAGCCCTATTATTATTGTGTTCTTTGCCGCCTTCCTACAAGCACTTGAGTGATACTATGATTTACGGTCAAGATTCTAGTGGCATCAAGGACATCAATGAAAACCTATTCAATAAAGAGAAGATCAAGATCAACAAAGAGTTATCCACAAGTGAAAGTGGTGATAAAGCTAATGGCTTGTTTGATTGAGGAAGATCTGAAGAAAGGGACTTTAAAGATAATAGGTATAACTCAAAGTATAGGAATCTGACCTGCGAATATTGCAAGAAGAAATGACAAATTAAAATCGATTGATACGTGTTGAAGAACAAGAAGAAACAGGAGTATGATGAAAAAAAATCTCATATTTGTTGCTAGGTCCTGTAGATACCAAATTCATAAAACAAAAGATTTTTTAAGTAATAACGTTCTTGGCTAAGTTTTGCATTGCTCAACAATGGATTGATCACTATGTATATGAACATATTGAATTCCCCTTTAAATCCATTATCTAGATAATACCAAAAGTGAACTCAAGTTAACTAAAAATGCAATAACTACACTAAGTTGAAAAAGCAAATCATATTATTCTAACAAACATTTCAGCAGCCCCAGAGACAGTTGGCCTTGAAAAACCACTAGCAATATTATACAATAGATACAAATTATGACACTAAAAGATCGCCATGAAAAATAAGCACTTGCAAAAGAACAACTTGCCTGCATATTGGAAAAGTGCACTGCTTCCAATGAATCTGCAATTTCCATCTGCTTCACTATTGTAGAATGCAACACCTGACAACTTCTATAATTAGAAAGATAACATAAAAGCAGGAAAAAAAATTTCGAAGATGAGAAAGAATAAACCTTAACATATATCCTTAGGGTTGGCTAGATATAATATTATTCTATGAACTCGGTCAAAAATAAAATTACATGGCAAGAGATCAGTAATTCCTTTCAAGTACTTCATTCAAACCAAGATCAATCATCCTATGCTTACAAGGATATATGTACTATGCTAATAAAAGTACAAGTGGCACCTCAATTTGAGGCACTAGGTAAAGAAACTGCAAGCTTACCTTTTTTGTCTTCTCAAGATCAATCTCCATAATTTTTATCCTATCCCATGAGTTCAGGAGCATATGCTCTTTCTCCAGAGGGATCTCTGCAGGCTTGTTTCTGATCTCATTGCACAGCATCTCAAGCCTTTGAAGGCGCTCTAGACAAGGATGTATGTGGGCTTCCGTGATAGTTTCCATGCTAGAAATGGGAACAGGGTCAGGAATAGGGTTTCGTGTATCTAAAGGAAGGATTTCTTCCAACCTTGTCTCTTTCCCACAATTTGACATCTGAAAGAGACCAAGCACTTTGCACAAGAGAAGAAACAACAGGTTCACCAACATTGCAAAGAAACTTGAAGTCCTTCCATCTGAATCATCCTGGGTGGTTATGTGCCTCTCCATTGTCATTCCTGAAACAATGAATAATGAGATGAGCTCTTCTATCAGAAGTTATCAGATATTATCAGCATGACGTATTAAGAAACCAAAACAAATTTGACTCATATGCATCAAATGCTTCTCAGAGAAGCAGCTAAGTTTTGCTAGATACCAGCGTCAACACAAATTGTACAATGACACAGGAAAACTTTCTTGAGAAGATGTGATACACAGCAATTTACAACATAATTAGGACTTCTTTTATCTGTTCTAACAAAAAGTCAAGAACTCATGCTAAGAACTTGTCTTACTGGGCCTTCTGGATTTTTTCCTCTCTTCTGATCGTCTATGATAATTTTACAGGCTTACTCTTTTATTACACAAGTTTAAATAGTAAGTTGCTATGATATGAAGAAGCATTCCTCAGACCAAGATATTGATGTCTGACACACCCAGAGATGTGAAGCTTGTAACTCTATGTAACCGTTACACACCAAAATATAGGTATAAGATGAAGTATGCTATTTAACTAATTGCTTTATATAAAATTAGATGAGCAATATGGAGGAACTTGGCACCAACCACATGTTTTCGTGCTTGGTAGTGAGGTAGCTCATCCTCATCCACTCATTCAAATGAGGAATCACATTCACGTGGGTTAGAGTGGATGGGAATGAGGCACATCCCTACCAAGCAAAAAAAATTGTGCTTGGTACCAAGTTCCTACATTTTTCTTATTAGAGTACAACAAAATAGGAAAAAAACTTTCAATATGTATTTCATATATTCATGTCTGGATTTTGGACAATTGCATTTTACCCCATATTTGAGTTGGATTATGACAGTGGTATGCCTGTATACAAATAAATCATTAACCAATCTGAGACTACAACAAAGATAAAGGTATTTTCTTAATTAATATGGGAGCAAGCATCTCTCTTAATCATGGTTCTGCAGCTAAGGAATTTGACCTCATCTCAGAGTACTCATACCAGTTCTGCAGTTATCCCAATGAAGATCTCTTTCTATGCAGAGCTATTATCTATAGTTAACTCCATTTGATGGGAATAACAGATAAGTAGAATGGTCAGTCCTATCTCTTAGGAGAGGTTTTTAGATGAAAGGCCCTTGTTCAATGAAAAAACAGTCCATAGTGATGGTGACCATGACAAAGAAATTGTATAATATAATCCACTTCATGCTTAAGTCTGTTTGAAATTGGAATATAGTAGGTTAGTTATGGGATTAGTTTTTGTGCTAGGAAGTAAGCTGATATAGGCTCGTTTAACAACAAGAAGCCATATCCCAAGAATATGACAAATTAATTTTCCAAAATCTCATCACAGAAAAGAATCCTATCAAAGAAATGTTTGGTCATATAAAGGCATTGTTTGCTCCTATGACTTGATTCTGGTAAAGTTTCCAAATCATTTGTACAGATACTCTCAACTAACCTTTGTTAAATTGCATTTTACCCTTTTCTACCAACCATTTTACCCAACGTCCTAGCTGGACTCATCTCTGATCCTTTTTGTGTATGTCTGTAACTATTCAATTGCCACACCATATTATCATCCATTGCTGCAGCTTGGCAAGACTGACCTCTCCTTTGTGCATTAGCATGCAATCACCTCAGTGTTCTTGCTTTTCATGTACCATTGTACCCTTCCATTATTTTACTTACCTTATCCTCACATAAAAACTTTAAGGGTTGATAACTGCTTTATAAATCCATTAACGTCTCAAAGATTTGTAAGATCACATCCCACATCAAATCACCACCATGCTTCAAGGTTTGTAAGATCAAAAGACGTATCTGTGTAGTGTCCTCGTCCTTAAACTCCATTTCATCGCGCAACAACATGATATGAATTAGCCATTTCATAGCTTAACAACATGATATGAATTAGTATCTTAATTATGCATGCTTCGATTCCCATCAATGTCCCTAGACTTCTTCGCAACAGAAACAGAAATCAAATCGATGTGCTACTGGTCAGTTAAACCGACTTACATTCCATATGCATTCTAAGCATCTTAGTTTTCCCCTCGTCTCTCACGCTTGTGCAAAAGCGTTCAACTGGAAGACAAATCTTGCACCTAATTTTACACAAATTGTTGCACCTAATTCCATGATACACAGTTGTGAATTCTTGCACCTAATTCCATGACTCATAAAGATAATTTTTTTTTGAATCTATTGCATTTGGATTACAAATCTTATCAGAATACCCCTATACAAGTCGTGTATTCTGGACATAAGGAGAACAATTAAGATTCCTGAACTGCCCCTTACCCTTCCATGAATGGATCAGAACACGCTGCTCATACACAGGTGCTCTTAATAAAATTTGTACTCTTTGCATCAGCATGATAATTCCAAGAAAGAACAAAATCCCCAACAATTTATTACATTGGATGCAGAAAACATGAAAGCAATGAAAATACAATATCTGATCTACAATTCCCTAGTTCGCTGTTCTACAATGAATTTGTTATGTCACAACTCTGAAAGTTTACAATCCCGCATAAGTCATGTACATGTAAGGTGAGTGTCATAGATTGTAATCCAATGAACTCAAAATGCTAGCACTTTTGAGGACTATGGAAAATTTCCATAGTTAAGTATGACTGTTGACACCTCGTTTGGCATGCGGGAATCGGATCAAGTGGGAAAGGAATGAAGCAATGAACGGAATGGAATGAGTATGAGAATGGAATGCTCATTTCCATTCTCATGTTAAGGTGCCATTAGATAATGATGTGAGAATGAAAAATCATTTTATTTTTAGTATGGGGAACTAATAAGAAATCATGGCACATTTGGTATTTAATTTAATTGTTTCACTCTCACTTAAGTGGGGGGAATGCCCATTCCCTACCAACTCATTGGGAATGCTCATTCCCACAAAAAGTGGGAATGAATGCAAAGTGAGAATGGGCGTTCTAGCTTTAAACAAGTTGTCATGTTTGACATGCATGAATGAGAAATGGGAATGAGCATTCCATTCCCCACCCATTCCCTCGTAACCAACCAAGACCTGAGAGTAGTATTATTTTGAATGACCTCCTGAGAAGTCCTTTGCTTGGGTGTTACAAATGCCATAAGAGCCAACACCAAGTAGATCTAAGCGCCACATAGAGCTGAAGTGCCATGTGAAAGTAAGTGCCTCATCACACAAGGTCGTCGCCATTTGTAACGTTTAGAAACTGTGGGGCTCTAGAATCTGAGAAAGGTGTATAGCATTTAATGGAATGTGTAAGCTCTTGAGAAGTTCTTGCTTGCTTGTGTAATATTGACATGAAGCAAAGCAAAACAGACCACTTGCAGAGACGTATTAACAATTTCAGGTTTATGAACCCAGCAGATATAAGATTGCATTAGAACCGGATGGAATGAATTCAACCAAAAGGTACAAAATCCAAAGCAAAAGCGAGGACAAAAAGTATAGTATCGTCCCAATAATAAAGATTTTCCATATATATCTACACCTTAGTTACTTTTCAATGAAATTTGCAGTTGTGCTGTGATTGCTGTCACACAATAAAAAAAATTGAACAAACTAAAGAACAGCAGATAGCCTTTGAAAAATAAATTGCCTCGAAGAAAATTTAAAGATATCAATTGATGAAGACTAGAGTGATGAATATCTCATTTGTAGGCATCAGTACCTAGTGAATGTGACGCCGTGTTGGTGAATGGATTTGTCTGCTTCTTCATCTTCGTGGGTGTCTTCACAGAAGATCCTGCTCCTGCTCCCCTTGTACCAAAGTCTACAGCTTTATCAACCACAACAAAGCGGTCATCACAACTGTAATAAGCTGTGGAATCACTTGCTCTGACCTGTAGAAATCAGAAAGTGACAAGGTGATATACTTTATGCATTTGAAGTACTATCCTATGGTTCCTAAGAAAACAACAATACTGAAAATTAACGCTAACTACTATTACTGAAGCTGTAGCAGCAGCTTGCAGTTAATACCTTCACCTCTCATCTCCTTAGTATTACCTGTCAAGATGCTGAGCAGAGCTATAATGTGCATTCTACGGACAATTGTATAAGACAAACTAAAGGGGTCATGTCAAATTACAGCTGACTTTTAAGAAATTTCACGATTAAGTAGTGAATAACTAAACTAGTTCTGACTATTTTTCATTATTTTGAACTAATCAGTTGAAGGTTGTTAGGTTGGGGGTGGATACCAACCTCTGGCGACGAGGAGCTCCGACGAGCTCGAGGAAGGCGGAGATGACGCAGGCGAAGTCGGCGAACGCAATCCTTCGGTGAACGCACACTTCGGCGAACGCAGAGTTGGGCGAACGCACCCTTCGAAGTCTGCTTTCGACCCCGCCATTCGAGCTCTGCGTTTTCTCTTCGACCTCTGCGTTCGTGTCGAGTCGTTGGTCCATTCGCCAACTTGATGTCAACAACGCCTTTCTCAACGGCACATTGCATGAGGATGTGTATATGAACCAACCTCCAGGGTATGTTGACACGGCCTGTCCCACTTATGTTTGTAAGCTTCGCAAGGCCCTCTATGGTCTCAAGCAAGCTCCTCGCGCTTGGTATTTGGAGTTATCTCGTTTTCTGGTTGATTATGGCTTTCGGAAGTCTGTGGCTGACACATCTCTTTTTATCTACCGCTTAGGTGGCAATTTGATCTACTTCTTGGTCTATGTTGATGATATTTTATTAACTGGGAATAATACTATTTTTTTGGATGAGTTTGTCTCTCAGCTGTCTCATAGGTTCTCCCTCAAGGATCTCGGTTCGCTGAATCACTTTCTCGGCATCGAGGTCATTCCCACGCCTGGTGGGCTGTTCTTGTCTCAGCAACAGTATCTTTCTGATATTCTTTGTCGCCAACAAATGACAGGTGCCAAACCGGTCACCACACCTATGGCTCCGGGCAAATCTCTCACTCTTGAGGACGGCACGGCTACAGTTGACTCCACTGAGTTTCGCAGTGTCATTGGTGCTCTTCAGTATTTGGCCATCACTCGTCCGGATATCTCGTATGTCATTAATAAGTTGTCTCAGTTCATGCATGCTCCCACTGAAACTCACTGGCAAGCGGTCAAACGGTTATTGCGGTATCTAAAGGGTACTCTCTCTCATGGTTTGTGTTAGAAATTGGGGGTGGAAACAAACCTCCGCCGGCGACGAGGAGCTCCGACGAGCTCCAGGATGACGCAGGCGAGCTCCGGTTGTCACCGACGGCGGAGGAGCTCCGACGAGCTCGAGAAAGGCGGAGATGACGCAGGCGAAGTCGGCGAACGCAATCCTTCGGTGAACGCACACTTCGGCGAACGCAGAGTTGGGCGAACGCACCCTTCGAAGTCTGCTTTCGACCCCGCCATTCGAGCTCTGCGTTTTCTCTTCGACCTCTGCGTTCGCCCCCTTTTTGGCGTCCGCGGGCAGCTGGCGACAGGCTGTCGCCAGGCCATCCACTCGCCTATAAAACCCCCCCTCCAGCCTAGGGTTTTGCTGCTGAAGTTCTTCTCCTTCCCTCCTCCGATTTTTCTTCTTCTGGCGGCGGCGGCTGCCCTAAAATCGCAGAAGCGATTTTTACATTTCCCCAATCTTCAACAGCAGTAGTTGAGGGGATTTAAGAAGAGAGAGAAGAAAAGAAAGAGGGGTTTATATTGTGGGGTATTTATTCTCAAGTGAGAATTGAAAGGGTTCATACCCTTTGATTATTAACACTGTAGCTACAGTGTTTATTTGAGAAATCTTAGTTTTGAGATCTGCTCCTAAATTGTAATTTCTTGTTTGATTAAATAAAAAATTATCTGTGTGGCTCCCGAGGACGTAGGCAGTTGCCGAACCTCGTTAAATCTTGGTGTACTGTTCTCTATACCGCGTTTCCGTTGCATTAGGGGATTTAGGCGTTAAATTCCTAACAACTGGTATCAGAGAGTGAAACAATCTAGAGAAAGTCAGATTCAAGTGGGAGCCATGGCCACAGATGAGGCAAAAATGAGACTTGAGAAATTTGATGGAACAGATTTTGGATTCTGGAAAATACAGATAGAGGATTATCTGGATCAGAAAAATCTGTATCAATCACTATCGGGGAAGAAGCCGGATTCTATGAAGGAAGAAGAGTGGAACCTTCTAGATAGACAAGCCCTCGAATCTTGGTGTACTTTTTCTATACTGCGTTTCTGTTGCAATTAGGGGTTTAGGCGTTAAATTCCCAACAGAAGGCTAGTCAGGGAATGAAGGACGGTACATAAATCAAGCACAAGTTCAAGAAAAGAAGGGAAAATTATATTGAAGTACATGATCAACGCATCTCAACCAATTTTCTCTCATTTTATCTTTAATAGGATTAACGTCTGATTTCTTTTTTTTAACCCTCTCTCTGTGTATATCAGCAAATTATTAACATTCAAATTTCTGCTGCATTAATCTTTTTAACATGTTTTAAATTTGCCTGACATTCCGATCCATAAAACAGTTTTGGTCTTATAGTTGTTATATAGAATTTTCCATTCAATCTGAGTGGTATTTCAATAATTTGTTATATGCAATTAGATTCCAGACATAATAATTTTATCCCTTTCTCCTGGTGCCAGCAATGTCATGCAGTCTCTTCTGACCCTAGTTATGGCATGCTTCCTCCCTGTTCCCAGTAATGGTATTCATTCTCTCTAGCTAAATCCATCTAGTCCAGGACGTGACACTGAATACTACACTTAAATATTTATGCATGAGTTGAGGAAATTGTTAGTGAAGTTCTCATACTTTGAAAGATCAAGACCTGATCCTTAAACACCATCACTGCAAAGGAAATAATGCTTGTTGCTAAAATTGATGACTATGGTTTATCTTGACGTCTGGACACCTAATGAGCAAGCCCACAGTATAAATGAAAAATGATACTAAGTAACAAGCTCTAGTAATAAACAACAGACCGAAATTCAATTCAGACTTACTTCTTCATGAACTGGAGCTAAATGAGCATATTCAGAAGTCCTAGTTATAAGAGGAGAACCGAGATCATCCATGTCCGACCCTGATTCAGCTGTTGATGTATCACTGCTTCTTCCCTGCCATTATGTGAAGCAAATAAATTAAAATCCATTTTGCCAGATGGAGGTATAGCTCATTAATAAATCAAAACATAAGTGATGACTGATATGGATAAAATCTTGCCTTCAAAGGGTATATTCTAGTATAATTTCCACTCCTGAGTTCTCCGTCTGGCGTCCGTGTTATAGGCCTTATAAATGTTGCTTCAGTGTTTCTCACAAGCTATGAGGGATGATACAGGTAAGTACACACTTAATCATTTCTGCTTTATCTCCAATAAGACAATTTAAAACAAAATTTCAGGACTGCAGACTGTAGGACTGACCTTCATAATATAAGGGTCATTCCATGGTCCTTTATTAGAGCTAAGACATCCTCCCTCACCAGGGCATGTGCAGGAGCCACCAAGGAAGTCTGGTAGTTGGCTGCAATAAGAAAAAACACTTTAATTTACTAAACCATCAACAGAAAGTGAGATGGCAACCAGAACACAGTAACCTTGCATCAATCGCTTCAAGTAATCTACTCTGAAATTTGGTCCCGAGCACCTGTTTGAAAATAAGTTAGATATACTCATTACCTAAACTGCAGAAACTATAACTATTCCATGCACCTATGCCACTTACATGTATCTTTGCAGCAGTTTTAGGGTCAAGAAAACCCCTCACAGTGTTCCAAAGAAGCTTGAAACCATTACCAGCATTAACAATAAACATCTGATGTAGAGTCTGCCAAAGCAAACAAGAAAATATGGTTCTGACATTCAGATATAAATTTAAATATGTCATAGTACCATCAGAAAAAGTACCTCAGGATAGTAATCACCATCTATTTTCTGCATATTCAGCAAGAGGTCTCTTGCTGTCTTGCTGAAATTTTTGAAACCCTGTATGTAGGTAAAATTAAGACTAATAAACCTCAGAAAGCAGTAACAAGAACAATCTGTTGCTTAGGTGAGACAGAGTATTGTAAGAGATTGGGCATTCACTTACAATCCCATGAACATCTAATATTGTAGTGGAGGAATCAATGTGTCTTTTGGCTGCAATAGAACATGCTGGAAATTTTTCATGAATGGATTTCTCAAATTCCTGTACATGATACTTTATATAGCGTTCTATAGTAGTAATGTGCATTAGCTTATTTGGTTCAGCTTTCCCAAGCCTTTCGATATAGACTGGTCTCCCCTCTTTGTCAACTCCATGGTATCCTTGAGGGTAATAGCGCAGTACTTCTTCTAGTTCCCCAAACTCAAAATCCTTGCACCAGAAATAGTGTATATTACAATAATTTACATAATTTTTTGATGATACGAATCAACAAAGTGACAAACATTCGTAAGTTGTAACTTAACAATGGTTTCTAATTTAAGTATTCAATTATAAGCATATTAAGTTGCTCCAAAGTCACAAAGTGAATATGTAATAGAAACATACTTCAAAGGGACCTGAAGGTTTTCTGTAAAGCCAAGACAAACTACAAGGGATATCAACAATGCTACAGAAAAAGCATGTAATAATGCAGATTCCTAGTCCCACAAGTTTTATGTTGTACAGTAATTTTCTATTTTACAAGAGTGTTGACATTAGAAATGAAATGGAAATGATTAGTTTTTTATTCTTTCATCTGCCAATCTGGAAACTAAGGAAATTAAACAAGGAAGATTTGAATGAGGCCTGACAGAAGATAGAGAAGTAAACAAGTATTAAACAGGTTAAGTTACATATAATTGTGGTTTTTTGAAGCACACGTAGTTAAGAACCATCCAAATCCAATTGACATGCATGTCAAAATCAAAATCATTGAGAAGCGACATAAGCAACAGTCTAAAAGGTATCACAAATTTTTATGCTTCCTCAAAGCATATCCAGGTATGAGTTTTACAGACTTCCGGTGACAAAAACGAACTTGAAATAAAAGGATATGTAGTATACTATAATTAAGCATCAGTTCCACTAGGTCCTTCAATGAAAGACAAAAATAGAGAAATTATTAATTCTGTTTCTCTAAACTTACAGTGGAAACCAACCAACAATGTTCCATCACTATAGTTAGCACCAGAAATACACAGTACAATTTCCATGCATAAGGGTGTGTTTGGCAACCCACCCAAAACCGGGCCAGCTTCAGTCCTGGCCCACTTTTAAAGGGTTTCCAAACACACCCGAAGACAATCTAGTGGCATATAGCAGATGCCTCACCTCCAGTATGGTGTCTGCCCCAAATTCCTGTCTCCAGTGAATCATCTCATCCCACATTTGGATTGCCTTCTCGCTATCAAATTTCCTAGCTTTCAAAAACCTGCACAGCCAGAAGCAGGATTGGAAAAAGTGAATTACATCTACAACTTGAGAACAGAGGAATGCAGGTACCCACTCACAGAGGAGGGCTAAAGGTGAACTATAAGATTTTGTTCTCACCTAGAAGATTTAGCTACCCTGAAAACAACAAATTAATAAATTCATTTTTTTTCCTGTAAAGAGAATATCATTCAATAACAAGGTGAAATCCAACTACAGTTTGCAAGTACCAAACCCATAGATACTACTCTGTTGTTTCATCATATTCAGAATTGATCTGATAGATATATGGCTTTCAACAATGAAGTGAATCCGGTTCTAATGTAAAAATATAAAAAATGTAGTTCTTTCATTTTTGCAATATTCGGAATTCATTTGTGTGTTGATTCTTGTCGTGCGAAGCCCACATCATGGATCTCCATACTCTATAATATTTTGGTCAACCTAATTGTTGTGCCTCACCTGAAGGGAAATATTTCTCAATTTTCTGGTCTCAGTGTTGAAAAGAGATGCATATAGAAATAACAAAATCAAACCTGAGTAACATATGATAGTCATCATGCTTGTCCGGCAACAAATCTCTAGCGATGAGCTCTTGCCGGAAAGCATGGACTTCTCTCTCCTCCCCTGCATCCCTTAGATCCTCTATCGAAACCGAAGATGTTCTAATGTCAAGTTTCCTCTTCCCCCTTTTCTTAAGAGAATGGGTCAGCTTATTAGAAGCTTTCAGTGCTTTCTTCTTTAAGGACCAGTTTCTTCTTCTTCTCTCATCCTCTGAATTGTCCACATCCGATCTCCTCTCTTTTCTCTCTTCCAGAGTAGCCAACCTCCCTTCAATACCTTCAACATGGCAAACTACAAAAAACTAATCAGACTTATGCATTCTTAACAGTTAATTTACTTGTAGAGCTTAATTTGCACCTGACATTTTATCCCAAGGGGGGGAAAGATCTATCTTTTCCTCGAACTTTGCGGATTATGAACTGCGTGAGAATTTGAGCAGCAAGCAGAAATAAGCAAAAGACCTTAAGTCGGTGAATTTTTTTTCCCAACTTTAGATAGAAAACCGTTTAAAAATAAAAACTTTAACTCAATTGACCAGACAAACGTGCATTATAGGGGGAAAAAAATTTAGTAAATAACCTAAAATTGTGTCGTTTTGCAGAAATCGCCCATCAAAAGCTCCTCAGCCGAACCTGCATTCTACGCGTACGTTACTAAAATGCGCCGATCGAGTAACCGCAGACCCTAAATGCTCATCAAAATCGCAGTAAAAACCTCAATAAATAGGCCTAATTACTCCAATTTCAGACCGAGAGCATTGAATTGAATGAAAGGACGAAGTACCTCTCGATTTGGATCTGAGATGTTTCGGAGAGAGAAAGCGAGGGTTTCGGGATCCGATCTGTCGGCTGTTTCCTCACTCTCTCTCTCTCTCTCTCTCTCTCTCAAGCTCTTGGAAATTTTGGTGGTTGCTCGCTCTCTCTCTCTCTCTCTAAAGCTAACGTAGAAGATTCGAGCGCAGTGCTCGCTTTATATCCGCGTGTCATTCTTTGTCCTTTTGCACTTAACACCTTAGCTTTCTATTCGTTGGCCAACGGTCACCCGTTTCGGGGTAAAATAAGATTCCTGCAGACAGTGGTCCAAGGGAAATTTGCAATTGTCTGATATTTTTTTTATTACATGGACTAGTACTGTGGTGTACATGTTGCCCGCTTGACAAAGAAATGTTAAGGATGTTTTAGTTTGACTTTATTTTACAAATATAAGAGTATTCTAAGTGTTGAATCATATACAAACAAAAACAGGGATTTTTTTAAATATACACTATATATAGATTTCTTCATTATTGCTGACCAATAAAAGAAAACATTCTAGAGTAATCCATTTCATTGTTCTTCATTATTGTTGACCAATAAAACAAAACATTCTAGAGTAATCCATTTCATTGTTCGGTCAAAAAAAAATTCATTTCATTGTAATTACTAATTAGTTACATATATCATTTGAAGCTTGTACCAAGATTTACGGAAAAAATTTTGATTTTCTTTTATAAAGGCTAAAATTTCATCGGAACAAAAAAAATCAATCAACACATGATAACAATTAGCATATTAGTATCGTATTTATATTTAAAAAAGCGAGACAGTATTTCTAGCATAATCCTATTAAAGCAGATTTGCACAAAATTGAGTATCTTTTCTTCGTACTTATGTAATTTAGTTTGTATTAACTCCCATAATATTTGTAACAATTACCAAATTTTCACCTGCTTTATTGAAATAAACAATAATAGATATGGAGAGGGGGGTTGTGTGAAAAATACCACGATGTAGGACCATAATCCCGCGGGGGAGTAGTTGCGTTTAATTTATTCAGGTGAACATAAAATTTCACTAATTTATAACATTAATATAATCTTGCTCTTGATGATAATGATGATGTAATTTCGCTTTCGGCCGTACCAAGAAGAATACGGCACGCGCGGGAAAATAACCGTTTTTCTATTTCATTCTTTATCTTAAAATAATTTATTGGAACCGGATCCGATCCAAAAGTTTCGTTGTTCTTTTACAGCTGGAAATGTGAAAACCTCAAAAGCAGGAGGAAAAAAAGAAGAAGATAAAGAATAGCATACTTTGAACCTTTGAGATCATTTTAACTTTTTGAATTTTGGGCTACTGTTAGGCCTGTCCATCCGGGCCGGGCCGGGCAAAACCGGGACCCGGACCCGGTACCCCGGGCCGGGTCCGAGCCCGGGCCCGATCGGGCCGGGTTCGGGGCTGGCCCGGCTGATTTTTTTTCCAAAATTTTTCAATTTTATTTAAATTTTAAATTATAAAAAAATAAGAAAAATAATAAAAACAATAATTTTATTAAAATTTATTCTTTATATCTATCTGCTAGTCCCAATTCTTTAAATTTATCTTCAATTCCAGCCATCCGATCTATGCCTTGCGTTCGCTTCTCGTACCTCCACCAATCTTGTAAGCGCATCACCGCTTGTACAGTATACGGATCCAAGCATGTCCTGTGATCGTCGATCAAACGACCTGCTGTGCTGAAGGCGGATTCCGAAGCTACCGTCGAAACCTGCACTGTTAGTAAGTCATGAACCATGGTGGAAAGTATATGATATGAAACTGATCCATATACTTTCCACATTGCAAAATATCTAAAGCATTTCCTTAACATCTAACTAAAGAAGCAGAAAAATATTCATCTATTTCAGAAACCTCCGATGATGACGATCCAAGTCCAGATCCACCAGTTAGCTCAGCTATCATTGCATACCTATCAAAACTTACACTTTTACCTCGGGATGAGCTCGAAGAAACCGAAGCCGAAGCTGCAGACTGTTGTGCAGCTACACCATGTCTAGCTGCATACTCATCATATAAGGTTTGAAAATAATTTCTAATAACTAAATAATGAGTAGTAACAGTAAGGGTGGTTCCATCATCTAAGTCTATAATCTGATTACCATACAAGGATTGTAACAAACTTCGAAGGCCAATATCCTTCAAGCATGGATCAATAAGAACCCCCAAACCAAAAATATGAAGAATAGGCCTAAAGTACTTATTAAATTTGCTCTCCATTTGAAAAATCATAGGTCCAAAAGTATCATCCATACGATATTTCCCAAAAAAATTTTGAATATTTAAAATTTGTAAAGCAGCTAAAGTAATGGTTGGATAATAACAGCCAGATAATAACATGGTAGCATCATAAAAAACTTGTAACATTTCATTTAAATTACATATAACTGTCCATTCATCTTCAGTTATTCCATAAGTGCTACCAGAACTAGAACTAGAAGCATAATAGTTTATAAAATCAGTTATAATGTCTTTATATTCTATTGCTACACTTAACATTGCATATGTGGAATTCTACCTATGGTCAACATCTTTTGGAATTAGTCTAGGCTTTACATTTTTTCTTTTATAAAATTGTTTCCATCTTTTAAGTCTTTGTTCAGAAGCACTATGCATGTAAGCAACTGTTCTAACCTTTTCTATCATGGGTTTAATTTCAGTAAATGCACTTTGAACAATTAAATTTAAAATATAACAGATGCACCTAATATGAAAAAGATCACCATGATTCATCTACCTCTTATGATGAGCTTGAAAAATCTTGCCGCACAATGCACACTTAGCCTTCTGGGTGAGGATCCTATCGTGTTCATCCTTGGTGACGTCGATCTTCTCGTAAAAATTCCACACATCGGATCTTGGCCTTTTAGGAGCTCCTGGTGCAGATTCGTCGCCACCGAATTCGGGATTAACTTCGGTAGGAGTAGACCCAGTAGGAGGACTCATAGTAGGAGGACTCATTTTAGGATCGGGAGATATGTTTTGCTATTCATAATCAGATCCGGAAGCCATTTGATGAAATGATTAGAAAGTATAAATAAGAGATTATAAGAGTATAAGAGAAAGTATAAGAGAGAAGAGATGAGTTTTTGGTGTGAAGAAAACAAATGAAAACCCCCCTCTATTTATAGAACCAGCCCCCTAGGCAAATGACCAAAATAACCTCAGTGGTCGGGCCGGGCCGGGCCGGCCCGACCGTTTTGACACAACGGTCACCACTGGTGATCGTTGTGGCCGGGCCGGGCTCCGGGCCCGGGCTGCCCGGCCCGGATGTGGACCCGGCTCCGGCCCTGTTCCGGGCCGGGCCGGGCGTCGCTGAGGCAACCCAGACCCAGGCCCGGAACCCGGCCTGGCCCGGATTTCTGGCCCGAGGCCGGGCCGACGGGTATTTTGGACAGCCCTAGCTACTTTGTCCGAAATTGTGGAAAATCGTCCATGGACCTATCTTTACAGAGTCTGGAGCAATATAGTAATTTCTAAGTTGTTATGCCTTGCGTTGATCAAAGTGTGAACAACTTTTGATAGATCAGCTATCTAGTAAACATAAATCATCATATATGATGTCCTAAATTAAGTCCTTCCAACCATCAGATCAAAACTCTAAAGTTATGGTGAAGGTTGAGTATTATAGTTTTACATTAATTCTAACATGCTCTAATATCATCTTAAATTAAGTCCCTCTAACCATTACACCAAAACTCCGAAGATATAGTGAAGTTTTGAGTATTGTAGTTTTATATTAATTCTAACATGATGAAAACATCATCTAGTAACAATGAAACTCTCTTTATTTCTCTAATAATCAATCCCTCTTACTTTGCTATCATCATGGATCGATCTAGTTCAAGTGAAAATTGAAAGGTGCGAGAGATACGACATTTTTGGATTTTAGGCAAAAAAAAAGGGTAGAATAATCTCTCTAAACTTTATGTATTCTAAATACTTTGCACAAGATTCCATTAGAATTATCTTTGTATAAGAGCAGAACTTATGAATTATGATATAGTGGGGGAAAACTTAGTTGAATAATGGAAGGAAAAAAGGTTTTGACGATGGCCAGAATCCATCAAAACACTTTTCTAGTGGAATTTTTATTTTCTATATTATAATTATATATTAATTTTTTATATTATAATTATATATTAATCTCGATTTATATATTAATAGTTTATTTATTTTTAATTTTATAGAAAACTATTTAGTTATACATTTTTAAATAGGTCATGAATAAATTTTTAAAAAGAAAAATATTCCCAAAGCAAGGGCAAGAGAAGGGGTGTTCATCTATTTTTAGAGAACACAATCACTATGATAATGTATGTCAAGAGTTCTTAGAAGTAACAACGAACTAATATTATATTATATTTATAATATAAAAATTTTGCCCACTATCTCATGGGTCTTGGCTCCTCAATTAAGCTAATGCATAATGCACAGCAATTGAAATAAATACAAAAAAAAACAGAAGTTTAGATTCCATTTCTGTTATCTTAAATTTTCAAGTGGCTAAAGCAGCTACTCAATTTGGATTCATTTGACTTTGTTTTCTAATGACAAAATATTTTGTGATGTTCACTAGGTTTGAAAGAAAATGGAATTTTGAGGGAGGAAATGAAGCATATTCTATTGCCACCACTAACCAAAATGATATAATTAATTCATGAAAAAGCATTAATTTCTTAACGAANTAAATTTTTAAACGAAAAAAAAAAAAAAAAAAGAAACGAAGGAAGTTTAACTAGCGCAAAGCAACTGGGCCCGAAATTCATGAAGCTTCTCCAAGATACCATACAAAATGACCCAAATTGCTTAAGCTACAAAAGTTGCCTACCTAAAGCTGTTGACATAATGGGGAACCAATAGTCTCCTCACAGGGAGAAGAGTGCTTTATGAGAAACTATGGTCCACTTGATGATTTAAAAGAAAATTGTTTTTCGATTTTAGTCCTGAATATTCATATTTTTGACACAAAACACTAATCCTCCAAAAGTTAGTCTCCAAATCTATTATATATGTGCTTTGAAATTAGTTTTTTCAAATCTTTCAATCTGATACTAACTAAAAGAACTAATTTTAAAACACTTAAAAACTTTGGAGCAGTAAATGAAGATT